AGAGTCAGTGAGTATAACAGACTTCTTTATAAACCTTACTTAATCTCTGAATTTATTAAGAATCTTCATCAGTGCAGATATTCTACTCTTTTATTAAAGATAGTTCATTAAATCTGTACTAAGCTCTTCATTTTCATCTCTGTCTGTCTTCATTCACTTGACTTCATGCTGAAGTCTTGCAATTTCTAGTCTCATGTGAGTCTTCTCACTCACAGAGCTATTGTCATTTCAGTCACTTAAGTCTCTTACATTATCTGATATCTCACTGATATCTTTAACTGAGTCTTTATATTTATTATTGAACTTGTCAGATCATTCTTTCACAATTGTGTTATTCAGCTCAAACATCTCAGAGACAGTCACTTTTCAGTTTATTACAGATGTTGATAAGCTCACACTCAATTCTTCTTATACTTCAGATGTTTGTGAATTTCTTCTTCTATACATTAGCATGTAATTCTTTATTAAGTCAGGCTTTTCACCTGATCTCAGGTTCATCATAAGTTCAATTAATTAATAAATTATCTAGACATGCTTGTAACAATGTGTGGAGATGTCAATTGCATGTTATTTTACAGCTTTTCATTGTGTAGAGAGCTTTATAATCTCTTGAAGAATAATATTATTATGTTGTATATTGTAATCTAACTACGCGAGTTACACTAAATGAATAGGTTGAAGTGACACGTGACTAGAGTAGATGTAGTAATCATCAACAAAATCATAATAACCGTGTCATACTTACTCACTCTCTATAGTAAGTGCGTCACAGCATACAGAAAATCACACTGTAAAGAAAATATTTTGAATATAGTAATCTTTAAAAATTAATTAATAATTATCATTACATCTATCTATAACATAAAGATTATCTATATACTTATTAGAAGGTGTAAAATTCACTGTAAGTTGAGATTCTATAGAATTATCTTATTATAATTGAGTAGCTGTAGATTTTATAGATTTGATTTCAATTAATTAAAGAGTTTTATTGAATATCTTTTTCATCTCATCTACTCTACAGATTGTGATCTTGTGATTGACATTCTTAATAGTGAGAACTTTATCTACTTATATCTGTCTGTGAAAGAATTTGATAATCTGATATCTATTTGCTTAATAATAATCTGCAAGTTCATTCTCACAGTATGTGTTCAATTTCATCTGAACTATGCTACTCTTGAAGATCTTGTTCAACTGTCTTATCAAATCAGATGTAAGAGTATTCTTTACATCTTCTAAGGCCTTGACTGCTGTATTAATTTAATGATGTAGTTTTACAACTATCTCTAAGAAGATTAATTATGAGAAGACAGTTAACAGTTGATCTGCAGATAACAGAGTAAAGTGATTACATACATCATTATCATTATTGTATATGTTGAGATCTGACTCATCTGAGACATCATCAATGATAAGAGATCTCAATCAATTGAGAATTATATTATAATTAACTGAATACATTTCACAGTTGATAAAGCCAGCTCTCATAGTGTCAGATTTAAATACTTGCAGTCAGATACTCTTCAGATTAGTAAGAAATTATCTGTCACTATACTACTTATATCTGTAGTAAGCAGTCTTATTAACTATCTTTATATGATAATACTTATACTGCTGAAAAGATACATTATCAAGAGATTGTAGAACATGACTTATATAAGATGAGAATCTGAACAGAATAATCTTATAAAGATCACAGTATTAAATGAATTCTTCTATAAGATGAGAATCATGATTATTCATTAATAGCAGTTGATAACTGCTTATTTGACACTTTTTTATCATCTTATTGAACTGCTTGATTCATTCAAATTCAATCTTATCATTTATAAAGCCAGACTCAGATTTGATGATGATGTAGTTATCAGATAAGTTAAAGTGTGTATATCAATTCTCTAGATAAACCTTTGATTTCATTATAATTAATAAATTCAATACTGTGTTATCTGCACTAACATACTTCATCACTGTTATTAACCTGCAGAAGTATAATAACTGTATAATGAAATTCATGTCTTTAAAAATGATTATAACTCACTGTCTGTGTTCTTCTTTTTCTTGAAATTCAATCTCATCAAAGTTGTAGATATCACAGTGAAAAAATTGATATTAATTGAAGACAGCTTCATATCAATTAAATCAGTTAATAATGAAGCTTATATTCTTATAAGTAGACTGATCATGTGACCGTGTCTGAGACCAGAATCAGATTTTTTGATAGTTTTATTATCAATTCAACTGATTTCATTACATGATTTTAACATTAGATAGTAGTCTTATACTGTCTCAGTGAGACTTACTGTCTACTCTTATCACATTTTTCAAATGAGATCATGATTTTCACTTCTCAATTTAAATTATTTTTATTGCTTTAAATGACTTTAAATCTCATTTGAGTGTTATCAAAAAGTGTTACTTTTTAAAAAATTAAAAATAGTATAAAAAAAACCTTAAAATGTCTAAAAATAGTAACTTTATATCAAGAATGAAACTAAATGAGATCAAATGAGATCACTTTCTTATTTTTTTCAAGTCATGATTTCATTTTAAGATCTGATATATAGTCACTTTACATGTTTTTTTAATAGTCAGTTTCAGTGAGATTCACATCAAGAAATGTATGAGATCAGACTAAATGAGATTAAATGTGAAATTTATAATCTCAGCGGCTAGTCTACTTGTAAGACACTCATTTTAAATTCATGAGTTTTTGCTTAACTTATTTGTAATCTGGCAGGTGTTTGATGAATTAATATATTTATATCTTACTTACTGTGAGAGATGCAGTCTCTGAATCTGTATAATACTGTTTTAACATGCAGTTCACAGCAGCTTTGATATACTTGATAGTGAGTGAGTAAAAATTAATATTCAACTGATGAATTCATATCTTAATTATCTCTTTCTGACTGTCATTCAATACTTGATTCAGTGAAATTCTTATAGTTCTTGATTTCTTTCTGTTATTATTATTATTATTATTATTCTTTCTAAACTGACCGTGTGACCATGTCTGAAACCAGGACCAGATTTTTTGATAGTCTCATTATCAATTCAACTGATCTTATTACACACTTTTAACATTAGATAGTAGTCTTATACTGTCTCAGTGAGACTTACTGTCTACTCTTATCACATTTTTCAAATGAGATCATAATTTTCACTTCTCATTTTAAATTATTTTTATTGCTTTAAATGACTTTAAATCTCATTTAAGTGTTATTAAAAAGTATTACTTTTTAAAAAATTAAAAATAGTCTAAAAAAAACCTTAAAATGTCTAAAAATAGTAACTTTATGCTAAGAATGAAACTAAATGAGATCAAATGAGATCACTTTCTTATTTTTTTCAAGTCATGGTTTCATTTTAAGATCTGATATATAGTTACTTTATCTGTTTTTTTAATAGCCAGTCCCAGCAGGATTCACATCAAGAAATGTATAGAATCAGATTAAATGAAATCAAATGTGAAATTCATAGTCCCGGCGGCCAGTCTAATTCTTCCATTATACTCATATGCAAGCGGAGCTTATGATGAGTCCTTGCGTGATGTTAAATAGAGGCCAAGTGTTGATTATACAGGAGGAAATACAGGTGTTGAGACCATGCCAAGATAACAAGAACATAGAAAATACAAAGAAGTGATAATTAAATACATGCGATAATAACTTCCCAGCCCAGGAACATAGAGTAATTTTATTGAAGCGATTTGTACACCTCTGTATTTATTAGAAACCTGAGGTGCTTGAGTTCCGGATTTAATGTATTCTCTACGGGTTGATTTCTTTCTGTTGATTCTTCCATACAAGGTGGTATATGTAGACTGGCCGCCGGGACCATGAATTTCACATTTAGTCTCATTTGGTCTGGTTCTATACATTTCTTGGTGTGAATCCCGCTGGGACTGACTATTAAAAAAATAGATAAAGTGACTATATATCAGATCTTAAAATGAAATCATGACTTGAAAAAAATGAGAAAGTGATCTCATTTAATTTCATTTAGTCTCATTCTTAGCATAAAGTTACTATTTTTAGACATTTTAAGGTTTTTTTTAGACTATTTTTAATTTTTTAAAAAGTAATGCTTTTTGATAATGCTCAAATAAGATTTAAAGTCATTTAAAGTAATAAAAATAATTTAAAATGAGAAGTGAAAATCATAGTCTCATTTGAAAAATGTGACAAGAGTAGACAGTAAGTCTCACTGAGACAGTATGAGACTACTATCTAATGTTAAAAGTGTGTAATGGGATCAGTCAAATTGGTAATGAGACTATCAAAAAATCTGGTCCTGGTCTCAGACACAGTCACACAGTCAGTCTAGGTATATGAGACTTTGAATTCTTATAACAGAGACATGATTTTTAATTTTTAATTGCTTTTGTACATGTCAACAGCTCTTTACAACTGCTTCTCAGTGTAATTAGAAGATTTAGACATGATTATAATTAATGATGATTATTTGAAGATGAAGAATGAAGATATTGAAAATATTTTCTTTACAGTGTGATTTTCTGTACACTGTAGTGCACTCACTACAGAGAGTGAGTAAGCATGGCATGGTTAAACAGTTATATTTCAGAATCTAAAAATAATATTCATAGTTTATTATTGTTTTCATTTTCAATCATCTTTTCTTTTTTCTTTTTGATTTTTCATTTTGATTTTTTAATGATATTCATAAAAATAATTGTTTTTTTGATTTTTTTGATTTTGATTTTTTTCTCAAACTTAGTGTCTATAAGTGGAATTAAGTAATTAACTACAGTAGAAAAACACAAAAAAAAAAAAAAAAAAAAAAAAAAAAAAAAAAAAACTCATTTGACTCAAATGTCGCTATAGGCTGCTGTAACTACTGCCCGAAGGACAAAGTGGCACAAACCTTCTTGTGAGCTACCAATAAGTTTGGGTCACCACTTGTGGCCCTCCACTATCAGCGACCTGAGGCTTAAATTATTCCGCAACTGTTAACCGGGATAAAACAACAGACGACTCACGACGGATAGCCTATGGATGGCACGAAAGGACATCATTCATCATCAGCCAAAGCAAAATCTGGATACTGAAGGAATGGTCGCGATGCTCAACCAGATCTGTTGGAGAGGGGATCAAGCGCGTTTGTTAGGCTTTCCCCAGAGGCAGCCATTGCTTGTCTCCAGGTAATTCGCGAACTTTAAATGTTAATGCCATACTACAAGTCAATATCAAGACAGCTTCCCGAGGTTTCATTCTCTGGAGATGCGAAGAGTGAGGGATGGGTCCACCCCCTCTGAGGAGAGGGGTTGTCCTCTGAAGTCTGGGGCAAGATTGCAGAAGACGTGATGATCGTGGGGAAATGTCAAGCGTTGAGAGAGAAAATACCCACCCTGCCGCAGATTCCTCCCCCCCATTAGCAAAAACAGAGAACTGAACACAATCCATGCACAGACATGAGGAACGATTCATTCATCAGTATCAACTTCGGAATCGATATTGGAGTGCCCTGGGGATAGCCGACACGCGATCAGCCTCAAGTTCCCCAGGTGCAACTACTTAGCATGATTGACCTTACAGCTCCAAACTCCAAATCATCACCTTGTTGCGTTGAAGAAGACTGAGAACTTAGAACAAAATGACATTTTAATTTGAGACTAAATTGTTTTAGCTGTCAGACTTGTCAGTAGAGTCACCGGTTGGTTGGATTGAACAGGCCAATCCAATCCAATTCCATGTATCCAGATGAAATCATGGTGATTGGCCATTTGTCCGTAGGTTATGACTCTACCTGCGCACCCATACAATGAGACAACATACTATGCCATTCACCTTTGTTGTAGGTTGTAACCAGCTCCTCACCTACTTCCCTCCTCATTGTTGACAACTTCCAGAGATCAGGGCCCGTCCTCTTACACTGTCAACTTGGACAGATTAATTTATTTCTTGTACATTATTCCTACAAAGCTTCTTGACACAATGGCGGCCAACCCCTTAGCCCATTCTGACTTAGTCCCCAGTACAATTTGCCTGGTTGATGTTGCAGGAGACGCTCAGAACGAACAGTATGACCAAGATGGGAAAGACATCATGTTCATCCCTAGACCAAGTTCGGACCCAGAAGATCCATTAAACTGGAGCCGGAAATGGAAATTCACGCAAATCGCAATGGTTTACATACATACCCTCAGGGTCGGCATTCCGACAACGGTGCAGTACAGCGTGCTCACTGATATCACATGGTATACCGGAATTTCGACGGGAGAGCTTCTCACTGGAACTGGACTTATGTTCCTGTTTTTAGGATGGGGGTGTTTGATCTGGCAACCACTGGCCCTCACTTATGGCCGCTGAGGTGTTTACATCTTGTCTTCCTTACTCCGTGTACCGGTTATGGCTTGGACTGCATACTCAAACGCCGGAAGCGCATGGTATTCCCATTGAATCCTTCTGGGAGCTTTCGCTGCACCTCTAGAGTCCCTGTCAGAGATATCTGTTCCAGATATTTTTTGCCCATGAGCGTGGCCAGTGGCTGTCGACATATGTCCTATTCCTATGTGGTTCTAATTTCATCGCGCGACTAAAATTCCACTACCACTCAATCTGGTGACGAGAAGGCTGGTGCCGATTTCAATATTTTAAAATGATGTATTGTCCTCTCTAATTATGTTACATTTCCCGTGCATGGGCTGGTCTGGGTTCCTTTATGGTATTAGCCTCTCGTGGTATAATGTGATGAATGGTATTGCATCTCCCATTCTTTCCTGAATGGGATTGAACAGCCAGCTCTGCAGCCTGTATGGCTCTGATTAATCTGATAATGGTGATAGGGGTGATACAGGGTGGAACGGGGTGGTGGTGGTAGAGGGGGTAGAGGGGGTAGAGGGGGCTGCGCAAGCAGCAAAGCGAGCGTAAGCGAGCGTTTGATGCTTGTAATTAATTAGAATGAAAGATATTTCTGCTTGCAGACAAACTTTCATATAAATTTCTATTGATGAGTGGCTATAAGTGGAATTAAGTAATTACAAGCAGAAAAACATGAAAAAAGCCATTTGACTCAAATGTCACTATAGACTGCCGTAATCAGCCTTTGGGAAGCTTTGACAGGTGTTAGCGTTAGCTGCGGGCGATTGGCCCTGGACGGTTAACTAGTTCCCGTTAGCTAGCTTGGTGAGGGCCCAAGAGCACCAAGTGGCTCGATTCCCTGCTTGATTTCTCATATCGGCATCGAAGGGAGATATTGAGAGCAGGGGTGTGTACAAGGATTACATAGCCCTGCAATGGCTCTCTCCAGTCAGAAAGAAGAATGTACTCCGTATTTGCTAGGTTTATCAACATTTCCGATCAGGAAGCAAATTAACACATTCTTCGTCATACCTATCAATACGCGTAGTAAAGACGCACGCGCAGTAAAGTGCTCTGAAAGTATTATGCCAATTTCTTTTTGTTTTTTTTTTTCTTTTTTGTTTTGCAACCTAGTAACTACAGTTAGCTGTCCAATTAGAGATATTAATAAATCCTTTATGAACCTACGCTAGTATGACCATCAATTTTCGGTCTCTTCATTCTTATTATCCTCGTACGCGCTATTCTTTATTATTCTCTATCAAGATGGACCTCCTTGCTGCTCTTGAACCTCCAATTGCACCTTCTCAAGAGCCTCCTGCTACACCTCCAAAGCAATTAACTCACAATCAATGTTGAGATATTCTTCTTCTTCACATTCTTGGTTGGACTTGTGATAAGATCTCCAATCACCTTGAAATTACCTATTGAGTGGTTCAATACCGATGCAATCTGAGTACGACTACTTCTCAGAAGCATACTAGCTACCCTATTCTCTGGATTTGGACCCAATTGAAACTATGGAATCATATGAAGCTGTGGATGCAGGGGAACCATCAGGATGAGGAGAATCTGTCTTATGATGCACTTCAAGGAGTGGTTAGAGCTGCCTGGGATGCTATAAGAGAGGAGCAGCTATGAGAGCTTTAGCAGAGATGCCAGCTCTCTATCAGGAAGTTATACAGGCAGGTGGTGGCTATACTAGATATTAATATGATTATCGATTCCTCTACAGATTATTCTATAATAATGAGAACTCGCTCAACGCGAGAATGCCATGTATACCCCCCAGAATGATGGTTAGAATGCCACTAAAATGTTAGGGTGGAACTACCGAAAATACCGGGGCACACCGTAGTATTGATACTCGGGCGCCCTCCACTAATTTTGCAGATACCGTCCAATGCCCAGCAGAGCCTGGGGCTTCGGTCGTGAATAACGGGACGGCTTCTAAAAGATTTGCACAGTAGAAGTAACCGCTGGTTAGGAGAGCTGGGGGGGTGGTGATACTTTTTTCCTTGTAGAGAGACGAAGATACCACCACGAGACCTTCAGGCCGACTGGGAACTTTACAATCATCTCGCATTGTCAGCCTAGCTATTTACCTTGTCATTTTTGAAAATAGGCAACGAAGGGGCACTGCTGTACGCAGTGTAGTTCGTGTGCATGCGAGATGTTGTATGGTAGAGGGCCAATGGTGATGGAGACGGAGAGGAGTTATCCAGTGGCCAGTGCCCAGACACAGCAAGCATGCCATGGAAGTTTGGCAAGTTAACGAAGAACGAAACAAGGACGAGAATATAATAATGCATAGAGTGCTGTACTTCGGCAAAACCATACCTTGTCCTGGGCGAAATATATGGTATTTCTAGCCCACCAGAATACGACTTTGTCTATTGCTGCGAAGACGGTCATCTGAATGAATTTTTAATTGCTGGCACTTGCTGTGATCAGAGATATCCATATGGATATCCCTCACTGTGTGTTTCTGCCGAGGAAGCATCATTCCTTGTTGTTTGTGCGGAGAAACCAAGCAGGCATCGATTTATGTATGGTTCTCGTATCGAGTGCTTCAGGGGTAGCATTCATGGTTGTTTCTCGTAGTTTTAATAATATCGATAGCACGCCTCCTGGAGAGAAAGGCGTTTACAAGTGCAAGGTAAAACCCTGCCAGTCGGGATTTATTGAGAGGGTTTGCAACCATAAAGTGTGCGAATATGGCTAGAAGAATCAAGACCCTAGCTCGTCAATATCGTCACAGATTCCCCGAGTGATGAAGTTGGGTCGGCGATGTGAATAACAAGAAGCTAAGTGCAGTAGTGGCGAATGGGATTGCATTGGTTGTTGGTTCTAGGATGTTAACACTCCTCAGTCTCCTCACCCTCCAACGTCCAGCATTACTGGTGGTCAGAAAATCATCCGTGATTCAGGCGATGGCGTCCGCACCCTGCAATGCACAACCAACTTCCAAGACGCTTGCGCACAGTTTCACACTGCTGCCTGCCGTGATTCGACAGGTCGGAAAAGACCTCCGCCAGTGACCAAAAGACACCTTTGCCAATCACCTCTCCAGAGACGGACTCAAGTCCTCCATCTCCAGATCACCTACAAGGTGTCAGCAATCGGATCCAGATTTTGTCGATTTTTATCGATTTTATCCGCAATTCGGACACTATACAAATCACCGACAAGGCTCCGTGGGCGGGGGTGGAAAAGTTTGATATGGTGTGTCGGTGGTTCGTCTCGATGAGGGGCAGCCAGGTAGCTCTCCTCATCAATGTCAATGGAGTTTTTTCTTTCACGGACCAAGTTGCCGGAGCACGTATCACGGCCAACAGCGGCCGCAGCAAGCCACAATTGGCGGTAAGGCCTGTCGTGGGGAACGGATACTGCTAGATCGGCGTCACTCCCTGCAAGCACTCGAATCAGAGCTTTCAACCAAAATTTCCACGTCGATGACGATTTATGGGCTGCCTTTCCATTCGACGGATTAGAGAACCTCTTCATCTTGATTCCAGTATTCGACTTGCAGCAGCAGACGCATACAGGAGGCGCAAACAGTCCTTTTTTGGCGCATCTTGTATGACAACATTTGTACTTTTGTACTCCTTCGGGTTTCCTAGATGCTTACCTTCTCCCACCTCACAAAGGAGCTCCGATCCGACTCAACATCGGTCGTTTTAATTTGCCCTTTTCCTATCACCAATCGTTTGAACAATCGCGAGGCGTCTATAGTCACGGCAGCTTCTATCAAATATCTCTGTGGAGATGCTCCCCCTGCATATTCTGCCTTACTCTTGCAAAATATCTTGAAATTCCTACCTGCTTGCGGCATCCAACTGCCTCAGTAGAGGACGAAAAGGTACCTGGTATAGCAGGCCGTCTTTGTTTACAAATCGCCGGTCGTTTGCTGCTCTACAAGACTCGGTTGATGTGAATTCCTTTGGGCCCGGTCCGCATGAGATCTTTCGTACTGCATTTTACGATCTTGATTGAGCACATTACACAACCATGCTGCTGCTGTCTTCCCTGATCTTGTCGTTTCTCTTCGCTCGCAAAGGTGCCGGATTGCAAGTCACAGAGGGTTCTCCGTGTGAATCGACCTGTCGCAGAACATCCACCAACACGACCGATGCTGTAGTTTGTCTAGATCATCAGTACAACTCCCCGCCAGGAACTTATTTCGAAGAGTGCGTGAAATGCGAATTACGAAGCACCTACTTCCGTTCACGTTCCTTCGAAACCCACGACACGGACGTTAATTGGGGACTATGTATGTCCAAGTCACCCTTATTAACGACTGGAATACGGTTATCGCTGACATATTTACAGACAACCTTCGCTATGCGCTCTCAACTTGTGTGTTTGATTTTCCAGTGGAAAAGCCAGATTCCATGTCAAGCCCGTGCCGGGTGACATGCGACCAACTTGGGGAAGCCATAAAGTTCCATCTGCTTTCCCCAACACCGGAGAACATGCTTGATTTCTGCGGAATGGGGGTCTTCGACGACGGCGTCATCACCCAATGTGCTGCCTGTTACAACTTGACAGAGACCGAGAAATATTTGGGCAACTGTATGGCTCCATCCCACTTTATGAATATCTAAAATAGATGACATTTTACTGACAAGTAGGAAACAACCAGTTGTTGAAGCGATCCGAGAAGGTTGCCACGCAAACCTACCCAACGGCGTACCTTTTATGCTCGATCCGAACAAGGTCTTCGATACAGAGCCTCTCCCAGCAAACACTAACATCCCCCAGATCACGGACGGAGAAACAGACAAAAAGAACATGAAAAACCTCATCCTCGTCATTGTCTTACCTATCATAGGATTCCTCCTATTACTGGCATGCGCATGCGGCGCGTGTATATTCTGTGTCCACCGTCGCCGACGCAAAGCAAAGAGAAAGAACCAGCCGACATATCTGCATGAGCGATGGAACGACACGGGCATAATGTCACCAGTGCGCAATCATCTGCGAAGAAGCTGGGGAGAGCCATCCCCTTACCAACCCGAATTCACTGGACCGTGCGCAGATTATCCTAACCAAGCCTATCCAAACACCGCTGCCGAGGCCCCGCAAGACGTCAAGTATCCGCCAGAGACATATGCGATGGAATCGACCTCGCAGCAATATGCAACAGTGTCACCCAAGTCAGACATGTCGACGCCCAAATTATTCCCGCCCCCTCCGCCTCGCAAATCAATGAATGACTGATTTGCCATCAAGGAAGAAAGAAGAAAAAGAAAAAGAATATAAAACTGATGAAGAATAACTATCTTGTTTTTCATCCGGCGTTTTTGGTATAGTGGGTGTAAGAAGGGCGAGCATTGTTCCCCTCCCGATCGCCCAGGCAGGCGAATTGCTTTCCTGATGGCTCTCCAAATATCCTCCCAATCATTGCCTGGACGTTTCCAGCTTTATTTTCCCTTGGTGTTATCGGTCTTTCTAGTCTTACTGTTTATGTGCCCCCAATGCTGCTTATCTCGAACAGACATCTGCTGGCTGGCTCTTCTTTCTTCATATCAATGGAAGGTCCTCCGTCTAGTCTGAGTTTTATACCCCAACTGCTGTATACTTGCAGTCTATTTTACCTTTATTTCCCTACAATTGCGAACCGTTTTTATATTCATATTCCCCTATCCGCCTCCGTAATCCGACCCTTTTATCCCTTTCGTATCTATCTTCGCAATCTGTTGATTCAGCCTTACGGATCGAATCCCAGCCAGCTCTCGATTCTTACACTATATCCGTTAGGGGCAACTACAGCTTGTGCCTAAGTACATATGGATGTTGTGTAGCTGGTTCGACTATCACACAATAACATATGATGTTATGGAATTCAAATATGTTTTATCTGCTATTTGCAATATGTATTTACAAATGATGCCAGGTTTTCTGACCTTCTTCTCTCTTCACAAACTCGCTTATTACCGAATCAGAAATGATCTAGAGGATGGAATGCCACGGAAATAGATCCTAAGCTACGTAGAGTGAGCAAATTAATTTCTATCTACAGGGACATTCCTCTGGATTCAAGGGTAGATATGGATAATTCAGGCGGAGGTCGGGCGCTTATTTCGACTTACCGCACGCACACTAGCTTAATCTTCAGGCGCGCGTTGATCAAGCAATTCAGCCTCCTCATATCATATTTGTATACTCCGTACAACGTCTGGTTTGAAGAAATAAAAGGAAACGTGTTCAATGCAAAACCTGGGGTTACACTAAAAAAATATCGGCAGAGATAAATATGACCTTTTGGGGAGTTGTGGTGAGCGCGGGATATTTTTATCATTCGGTAACCATGGGGAGCTTTGGGCCGAGTAGTGATCTAACTACCACTTAACCAACGAGTTATCTGAACACCCACGTATAACACACACCGTCCTCGCAATCTATATCGCTCCTGACAACTCCCTCAATATACAGCCGCAAGCTAAATCAACCTCCAAGAAAAGAGCAGTGGCCCATCTCAAATCATGGCATCCATATCTCCCGAGCAACTAAAAGTGCTCGAACAAACCCGCCAGCGCCTAGTCCAACTAACCCAGTCCCTCGCCTCGCTCATCAACAATATAAACCAAAGCGATCCCCTCCCCTCCTGGTAAGCATGTGCCGGCCAGTCATAATTATTTGTTTGGAAGAACTAACAACATCCCCCCTCCACCATTCACCGTCCAGGTCCTCCCTCCAATCGCAGGCTACTATCATCTCCAACAACCTCCTCAACGTCTCTGAACAACTCACAGACCACCATGACCTGCTCTCATCCCTCGTCGCATACCCTACCCCTCAATTCCCCGGCCGGACCGAAGCTGCCATGCTTTCACAACTGCTACGCACCAAACTCGAGCCGCGCGTGGAGGATTGGGTCTCCCAGGGCCTCTCCATGGGCAACGCGGACGCGACTAGACGTAGGACGGGATTGACAGCGGAGCAGCTGGCAGAGCTGTGGCAATGGGCCCCTGTCGAGGCGAATATGGAGGCTAGAAAGCGGAATTGGGGAGGTGATTATACGCGGGAGGAAAAAGAGATGGGCGTTAAGAATGTTGTGACGGGGTTGAAGAGGAGGCTGAATGAGGAGGATAGTGGGAGTGAGAGTGGGAGTGGAGACGAGGACGAGGGGGGGAAAGGAGAGGAGGGAGGAGGGGATGGGAGTGGGATGCAGGTTGTGGGAGTGCATAGGAGAGCTGGGGCCGGCGGAGTGCAGTTTGATATTTCGAGCGGGGGAGGACAGGTACCGCCTGTACCGATGTCGCCTGCACTACCGTTGCAAGATGTGTTTAGGTTCATGATGACAGGGGCGTCCCCGAAGGGTCGTTGATATGGTGGTTGCAAAAGAGAAGTAAATATGCAGTTTTCTGGATATTTCCGTTCTGGCGGAATCATGGACATGGGAATTTGGTTTATTAAACAACGCACTTCAGATATCGGAAATGTACAGTGCCTGCTACATGCAGAGGCGCTCGTCATCTACGACTTTATTGGACGCATTTACGGCATTATATATACTACGGATAAATTCGCTTGGTAAAACATAGCCCTCTAGAGCCGCTTATTTAACTTGTTTGGTATTAATTTGATATTAAGATTATAGAAAATTATCATGCCATTCTCAAAGGAATGAGATGGACATGGTGTGAGAAAATTATATCCCGAATAGAAAGAAGCGTAGCAAAGTTCAGATACGAAAAAAAAAAAAATAAATAAGAATTTCGTAACAAATTTATCCCCTCCGCCTCGTTGTTGGGCCCTTTCCAGAAGGACTTGGAGAGACGCTAGAACTTTTTGCAACAGGGATCTGCACTTCTGTCATGCGCTGAGGCTTCCTGGCCTGCAGTTTCTTCGCTGGAGTGGTAGCTGGCACGTTCCAGTAGTACAGCATCTGTAAGCCCAGGATCAGATTAAGGGAAAATCCAGCCACGAAGCCGTAGAGGAGCAGCTTATCGTCCACTTCCTGCATTGTGGTGAAGATGCGCATCATGGAGCCCAGGAGATAATTGAATACCTAAACCAGAAAAATATATTAATGATGACATAATTCTGAAAGGATGGTAAATATGAACATAGGACGAAAAGAGATCCATGAAAAGTAAGAAGCGGGGTATGGTTCACATACCGCGAAGGCGCTCAATTGCCCTGTGCCCCCTTCGTTCCACACAGTCAGAATCTGCGGCACTTTGCTCGCGATCCCCATTACTCCCGCGCCAGCCTGCAAATAACCCATTGTCGCCTGGTCTACAAGTGCGTCGCCACTGAACAAAAGCGCATAGACAATGCCTGCAACGGCCGCAACAAAAGCGCCAGCAGCCGGTGCTTGGCCAGAAAACACAAGCACTAGGACGCCAACTACAACATCCTGTGCGGCAATGAGCGCAGACTCGCCATACGTGCTGAAAGGGAATTTCTGACGCGCATTGTATGCGAGGGTAATCAGAAGGCTCGTAGTCTCGAGCGCGTAGGAGGTAAACGATACACCCGCGGAGGAGCGGGAGGAGAGAAGCTTCAAGATCTGTGGAACCTTGACGATTGCACTGAAAGTGACGATTGCCACGCCAAGGACCTTGGAAATTGCTAGAGGAAAACAGGCTGGGTCTGCCGTCACGTCGAGGGAGCGGATGAGGGTTGAATGGCAATGTTCGCCGAGAAGAGAGAATAGAGCATCATCGACAGGTTCGGGAAGGGCGGAGGTGATGGATTTAAGGTACGGATGTAACGGGTTGAGTAGGTTGGTCTGGAGAATTTGCTGGAAAGACTCCATGGCTGTCCCTCGAGTTGGTTGATGGTCGGAAAGCCGTTCTTATTGTTGGAGTTGATGTTTTCGTTGCAGCATCGATTGTTTATGTCCGAGATTTGGCCCAGAGATGCAACAATAATCAAAGGTTGTGGTTAATTACCAGATGTGGTTAGACCACAACCGAATGGATTTCTAATTCCCAACTATATGCCGAGAAGGGATAGTTAAAACTATGGCCAGTAGCTAAAAATGCTTAGGAGCATATATTTTATATTTTTAATCTAATCTTATTGCCCATTTTATTCTCGCGCATCTACGTGATGCTATATCTACTCCGTTATCTACTCCGTCGAACGGGGACAAGCATGTTGGAGCTACTACACAAGCCCTAACCCACGTGACTCACACACATATATTTAGCTTCCACTATTAGTTAGAAGATAACAACAACAAACCACGTTCAACCTCTCTCACAAAGCAATCAAGTCACGTGGATGCTGACTCATCTCACTTGCTGGCTGGATCCAGACCCCAAACCAAGAATTCTACAACAACGACTGCACTTCGGATAGAACATTTCCCCATGCGGATGGCGAGGTCTCTGTTGGCTCAGGCTGCCGATTAAGTGCAACCTGAATTGGTTATGGCCTCACCGCTGTTATTTGTCCGCCCCGGCGTGGCTTCGGACGCTGCCGCGCTCTGCTCCCGTTGCTTCGCTCACCTAGCGCTGCCGCCAGGGGGGTGCTGGCGGAGAGGCTTCACTGCGAGTAGGATCTTGCAAAATGGGGAATCTCGAGCTTCGACAATGCCCAGGATGCTGAGGAAAGCGTACTTCTCTTCCAGTAGGCTACCGGTTAGCCCTTTGTCGAGAAATGACGCGGTCGAGTGGTTGGGAAGAGGGTCACCGCATGTTAATCGATCGCCTCTCTTCCACTCCGCAGCACCTTCAGTTGATGCTCAAACGCCAACTGTGTCCCCAGTTGGGACAAGTAGCAATCAATCACCTCCTGGTTCCCCCGAGGAACTTCCCCATCGAAGACGACAACGCTTAAAGGCTGAACGTGAAGCTAAAACCCCTAACTACGATATCCGCCCCGATGCCTCCTCCCGCCTGTCTACTTTATCATCCTCTCTCCCAAAAACTTCGCTGCGGGGGACAATAGCAGCGTTCCTCGCTCTTACGAAACCAAACTTATCCTTCCTCGTTGTTCTTACCGCTACCACTGCCTACGGCCTCTACCCTATCCCAACACTCCTTGCCCTAGACCCTTCAGTAACACCTCTCCCGGCACTCTCCACTACTACTCTGACCTTATTCTACCTTACAATCGGTACATTCCTCGCATCCGGAAGCGCCAACACCCTAAACATGTTCTTTGAGCCACAGCATGACGCACGCATGTCACGTACTCGAAACAGACCACTCGTTCGCAAACTCCTCTCCCCAAGAGCAGCCCTTATATTTGCCGCCGTCACCGGCACTGTGGGTGTCACTGCCCTATACATGGGCACAAATCCAACTGTCGCCGCACTAGGTGCTTTCAATCTTTTCCTATATGCATTTGTCTACACTCCCCTCAAACGTATTTCCGTTATAAACACCTGGGTTGGAGCAATCGTTGGTGGAATCCCGCCTCTAATGGGCTGGGCCGCTGCTGCCGGCCAAACTGCTACAACGGGACATGACGGCTGGTGCGATCTCCTCTTCGGCCCTGACAGCCCTGGAGGCTGGCTCATGGCCGCAATATTATTCGCATGGCAGTTCCCGCACTTCAATTCCCTCTCCCACACTATCCGTGAGGAATACAGAAATGCGGGCTATAAAATGCTCGCGTGGACGAATCCCGCGCGCAATGGCCGTGTCGCACTTCGTTACTCGATCCTCATGTTCCCACTTTGCGCTGGACTGTGGTGGTTCGGAGTGGTTGATAAAGGCTTCCTAGTCGGGGGAACACTAGTCAATTGCTGGCTAGCCAAGGAAGCGTATCGATTCTGGAAACTTCAGGGAGCAGCTGGTAGCTCCAGAGGATTGTTCTGGGCTAGTGTGTGGCATCTGCCACTCCTGATGGTGGGGACGCTGGTCACTAAGAAGGGCATTTGGGATGGGGTCTGGAGTCATATTTTTGGCGAGGAAGATGAGGAGGACGAGGAGTATGAAGAGGACGAGATGAAAGAGGAGACTCGCAAAGTACTCGCAGACGCACTCTTGCCCACAGAACCCATAGCGTGACGAGGTTTATTTTCTCAGTCTAGGGAAATCTGGGAAAGACACCAATCTTCACTTATGTATTATGTATATACCATACCATCTTGACTTTGCTGCGCATTTCTTTAATCGGCAGGGGATTTCTCCACTGGGTTTAACTGAAAGGAGGCTTCCAAATGTGTAGATATATTAAAGAGCCGCTCACTTGATCTACAGGCGAAGCCGTCACACTATTTCCTCTCAATTGAGTGCAGGATTCTGTACAGAGCATAGTTATGCCGGCCCACCCCACCCACTATCCCCAATAGTGAGTGATAAATCATGATTCACCACTACACAAAATATCACTACTGTGCTAATTATCATGTTTTTCTTCATCATCTATCTCGAGATAATTGAAAGATCTCAAGAGATTGAAGAATATATAGTAGCTGTTATAGAATTCAATGAAAAATTCTCTGTGTAATATCAGATATTAACTAAGACTGTAGACTGTGCAGACTGATACTTGCAGTCATCAATCTATGTGATCAGTAATTGCAAGCTCTTTATAAAAGGTCATGTAGCAGCTAGCTTTTCATAACATAAACCAACTACTTTAAGAATACACCTTCATCAAATTTATTATATTATATTCAAATAATACTGATATTTTCTGTAAAGAGTTGTTTTAAACACACCAACTACAAGGAGTAGTGGGGCTAACGAAGGCACGTGTAGGCTGTATCTGATTTGCCGCTCCATCTGCAAAACTTTAAATCTTCAACTCAGGATGAGTAATAAGTGGTGTGACGGAATGGCGGATATGGAAACAGAATAATGATCTCTACTGTGTATGATTTTAGCTTTCATTCACCTCGCTTCGCTTATCCTAACCGCAAACCAATTCTCACAGTGTTCGACCGCTGACCAAAGGTAATTTACGCCAATAACTTTAGCACATCCTCGAATTTCGCACACCAGCTGTTGCACTGTGGGTGGCACATTGGTGGTTGAGATGATGTATCTATCTGTCTCTCAGGTCCCCTCGTTTGCACCTTTCCTCACTCTATCTTCGATAGACGCTGTACAGGCACGTTTTAGGAGTATCTTTGGGCGACGGATCGAGGAGAATAAGGGGAGTGAAGAGAAACAATGACCTGTGCACTTACCATGTTCGAGCCTCCGAAAATGTGGAACTACTTCTGTTCTCACTTCGTTCCCTGAGAGAGCCGGAATCACGACAAAATCGACGGGGAGTGGAACTCAAAGATAGCAAGAAATAATGTAACAGCCCAACCCCCGCGATTGCTAAGCGTCGGACATTGAGTTAAAAATGTTGATGATGCCATGCCTAGATCCGAGGAAACGAAGACAAGGCTGGAATTCAAAAGCAAGAAAAACCAAAGTACGGAGTAGTTTTCCTCTGTCTTCGCCTTGCGTGCAGGCTGGGCTGGCTGACTTGTTTGCATTTTCTTGGCACATCTCCCCCCAGATGTCTGTGCGTTTGTCTTACTTCGAGCCATTCCTGCCGTTCTTCTTTCCCCAATTTGAAGGATTCCCCAGCGATTCTCTTCCTCAAAAGTCCCCTCTTGATACGTTCCTCCTTCTGAATACCCCGTAGGTTGAGAAATTTGCCCGTGGATTGTACGGCTTTTCTCAGTGTATCAGCCAAATGGACCCATCCATACTTCTGAAGCGACTCCCCCAATTCGATAGTAGTAGAGTAGGGAGATAGCAACACAAAGACGAATCTTTAAAAGGGCGTTTTGACAGTGGTCTGTAAAGTAAGCGAGAACAAAAGGAGACAAATTGGACAAAGAAGGTTTGGGGGCGGGCTCGCTACCCACTCAGTCACAAATATGGATTTCCGGAACCATTTAGACTACGATCCACCCGCCCACGAAGCCGCTAGCAGGAGGTCAAAACACAGGCCAAGCCGCCAGTCCCAAGGGGGCAACACCGGCTCGGGATGGATTTTGTGTTCGCCAGGGTGGGTGCAAAGCACAAGCAAGAAACTGTCGCTGAGCATGGTATTTGCCCAGGGGAGGCACATGTCTTGTATGTGTTGTACAGCCCATGTATAGTACTACTGTACATCTTATAAGAAGTACTGTGTAAGTACCTTGTCAGATTCTCACCATTAGCACCCTCTCCGGCATGGTTCGCATGGAATTCGACTCAGGCTGACCGGATATCCCAATCTGGTAATCCGTGACCTTATTCCGGGACGGTTTTAAGAAGCGAGAACGCTCTGACTAAGATGCTGGGGTGCAAGGATACCTCGAATTGTACAGCCCGAACATGTCCGGAGTTTGCAACCCAGTATCAAACGTAGGTATACATACGTCTTGTACAAAAGTAAGAGGCCCGGGAGTTGGGCGAGCCATTTTGATATTCTTCTCTTCTTCTTATGAGATGAGTGCATTCACACTCCTCCGATCTTCGGATCGAGTTGAGTTAGGCGATAGTTGGATAGGTGGATCAGCATTCCACCAATAGCATTGTTCTGGTGAGTCGTCGAACCTTAAAAACTAATGCATGGGTATACATCCTCTCTCGGCTGCCGATGGCCAGGAACAGAGCACAAGTATTCCGATGTACTCCTTCCTTCCTGTAAATATATTTAGATGGCGGGCAGTTCGATGATCCAAAGATTGCCGCTCACTCTAAGGAATTGCGCAATTGACAACAGTCTGATTCGTCTGGTCGATGTAGGCGCAAAGGAAATAGAACCGCTTATGTGGGTTAGATACTGGCAGTTTAGCGGCATACATTACATACGAAATAGGAATTGATATCTTCTAGATCTGAGGAAAGCTGGAAGCTTTTTTTCCCGAAAGATAGAAGGGCTGTTGTCGGTCTCGATGATGTGTATTTTAAGGTGTTGTAGTAGCTATGGCTCGCCGTTGCTGGACGTAAACCAAGGAGATGTCATTTGGGTGCTGACGCTGCAAGGTGTATGAATTTTGCCCGGTTTCTATCCTTGCGTTGTCCGCAGCCTATTTGCCATCTCATACTTGACTGTGAGAACTTGGCAGGCACCGGGAGCTATCTAACCCTCAGTGGATGAGACGGATTGTTTTGGAGCAGGTCAGCAGCTCTAAGACGAAAAATGGTTGTTGACCACTCTCCTGTTCAATTGTGGATGATTAGATTGGCTGAACGCTGTGGGGGGAGGAGGGAGGGCTCGAGGGCTTGGTATAATCGAGCCAAAAGCAAACACTTATTGGCGTTGGTTAACTTACTACGGAGTACGGAGTATGTATATTCACATCAGGCTGGAAGAAGAGGAATAAATGCGGGGATCTTCAACCGATGATCTGCCCTATCAACTCAACTCTCTGTTGAAGGAGACAGGGCAAACCCTGACACCTCACTCGATAAGAAAGTTGATTAGACAACCAAATGAAATATTTGTGTTGTATGAGCGAGCGGGTGGATGGTTTTGATATGGTTTTGCAATCCTTTTTTTTTTTTTTTTTTTTTTTTTTTTTTTTTTTTTTTCTAATACAAAGATTCGAGGCGTTTATGGCCAAATGAATAGTTAATGGAGGTTGATTAGAATGAGAACTAGAAGCTGCTCGCCTGGCCATTAAAGAATCATGCAGGGTCGGTCGCCGTGTCTGGATATCCTTCCTCTTCTTCCTGGTTGTTCCCCTAAAGCGAAACGCCTTAGCTGTTATTATTGTCGTATTCGGGACAAGATCTCCAACAACTACTACTACTATCTATTATTATTATTATTATTGTCATGGACGGGATCCCTCTTGGCGGTGTGGGGATAACATAACCGTGAAAGAGACAGTTTCTGTGCAAACAGAGAAAAGATATAACTCTGCTCTGCTTCCATTAGTTAACTTAACTAACTAGTTGTCCATTAACTACGCGAGGCTTTCCGTAACTATGGGTTCATGGTAACTACAGATGGGAATGATGGAAACAATCACCCGAAAACAAGAACATCGGGCTCAGCGAATATTCCATTGTCCATCTCCATTCGTATCAACAGGCGCCTCTTCTCGTGCTTTGGCCCATGGGACTACCCGTTAGACCAAGCTTGATATGCCGAGGCGGTGCTCGCCAAACCAAAAAAAAACCTTGTTGTGAAGAAGGTAACTTTATACCATATATAGTTATATATATCTGGAATCTGACCAAAGGCAGGCTAGGCCCATCAGCGAAATGCTAGGCTGCCTGTGCTGCTGGTGCTGCTGGTGCTGCTGTGCATCACCAATCCGAGGCCCACAGCCAACGCTGCGTACCCTTGATACCTGCATCCTCCCCGCACGGGGCTTTGGCGATGGCGGTTTTGTTTCCTCTCTTTTTTAAAATCCATCCCGTTGCGCAAGTCACACTAAAAGCCGCTAGTCAGCCAGAGCTGGCGAACAAATCGTTGTGTCTGAGCCCGCCAACGCTGCTCTGAGCACTTCACTAGCAATAATCCAGGACGACTTGCAGATGATGCTTTCGCCCTTGGGAGGGATCGTCCTGCCGGAACAACTCTCATACACACAGACAGCAGCATGAGCGCTAGTTAACAAAAGGACTATTATTGCCTGGATCAACAACCCAGGCTTTGAAGATGGATTTTTCCAAACTGAGCAAAGCGCAAGCCAAAAGGCACCCTCGCAACCCCGGGAAGGAGAGGAGTTCGCTCATGTTCATCTTGTCAAGTAGAATATATATCGAGGCAATAATAATAGACCCAATAATATAAGTTAATAATAATATAAATATAATCATCATAGTAATAGCTGCCTTCCTGCTCCTCTCAACTTTCCCATCCTAACTTGCCTGCTCTTTTTTATTCCCTCCCCTCTCCTCCCCTCCACTTCTTCGTTCTTCTCCTCCCTGCACCAGCGCTCTCTGGGCGCCTCAGCTCTTGGTGCTCGCTCCTCCTGCCTGCCGGAATCTCCATGTTGTTCATGCAAAGGAAGCCTGCCCTTTCGTCCCGCCATCTCGCGCCGGACTATGGGTATAGTGAACGTCTATGGGACCATACGACTCCAAGGGCGGCAAGTGCCTTAGTCCCCGATTGTCGTAACCAACAGCTGGCAACCGCTTTCTTTACCCCGACGTCCTCTTCAACCCTGCTGCGGTCTCCAGCGACCTCTTCCAGCGAGGTCTTCTCTCGAGTGGTAATTTCGCCCGGCGAGGATGTTTCGAATCAGTACACTCGCACCTGTTCATTGGACACGCGACCCAACCTCACTCGAACCCAAACCCTCGACGCTCTCGATTTCAGTTCCGAGTCCCCCTTTAAACATGCTCAGGAACAATCCCCCACTTCCTCGCATTCTTCCCGGACATTTAGTTTCGCTATAATCTCCTCCCCCGATACGGATATCACGGCGGACGACGTGACGCCAAAAGTGGAAGAAATTGAAGATGAGCAAGCCGTCTCGCTGGGAGAAATCAAGGAACAAGACCACAGGGACTCAGATCCACGAACGTGTCCTGGGGAACCTCCGGTGCCGACTGCCATCGAGGCTCCAAGGAAACGGGGCAGGCCGCGAAAACACCCACTACCTACGCCTGGACAAGCGAAGGTCGCCAAAGGAAGATCCAAAACGGGATGTATTACTTGCAGAAGAAGAAAGAAGAAATGTGACGAGACGAGACCTTCGTGTTTAAATTGTCAAAAGAACGCGGTGTTTTGTGAGGGTTACCCTGTGAAGGAGATATGGAAAAGCGGAAAGCAGAAGATGGAAGAGGGTACATACATACCCTCAAACTCGCCGCCCCTTTGAATCCGTCCTTTCTACATCCAGATATGAGGACGTTCTCATGGTTTCTGCTTAACTCGCATACTGACTTACGCTTTACATAGAAGTTCGAAAGAATTATCTCGCGGCTATCCCCCGTGGTCTTCCAACCCTAATAGACGGGATAGAAACTGATGTCGATCGAAGATTCCTTGACCATTTTGTTTTCGATTTTAGCAGAGTGCTTACACTCATTAACGACGACTCCAATCCATTCAAAGAGATTTTGTTGCCAATGGCTACCCAACACCGGGGCCTCATGCATTCGTTGATGTGTCTCTCCGGCTCGCATCTTTCCACGAGAGACCCAGAACCGCAGTTTAAGGAGCGCAAACACTACCATTTTGACCAAGCAATTACGGATTTAAGGATGATAATAACGTCGCGAGCGGGAACAACTGATGAGCCAGAGCTTCCCGTAAATGACCCTATGATTGCGGCTACCCTCGCTTTATGTCTGAAAACTATATGCGAGGGAGAAACGAGGGGAGAGTATAGGTCGCACATGGATGCGACGCGATATTTCCTACGAACCCACCCACCAAAAAATATAAAATTTAAGCAGTTCATCATCGAATTTTTCCAATACCATGACATTTCAAACTCCTTGACCACCCTTGACCGCCGACCCCTTTGCCTTACAGGTGACCTTCGCCTACCAGACTTTGTGCCCCATGCCCAGGCTGGCGCACTCTTGGGCATTTTCGACGGCTTGTTTCACTACATTTCAGAAATCACTGTTCTTCGCGACAGAATCCGACAGCGGATTATACATGGTATTGAACCCTGGATCGACTACCAGACACTGAGCGAAGCAGTGTCGATTGACTCGTCGATACGAGCCTGGGAGCCGATTTACCCGCCGGATAACCCTAACTGGTACGCGGCGCAGTTATACAGGCAGTCGACATGGGTGTACCTTTATCGAACCATGCGCCCCTCCCGCCCAAGCGAGAAAATATCTCGAGTCGTCGATGATGGGCTTGTGTTTCTCGATCAACTTCCTATCGATGCCGGTGCCAATTCCATCATGTTAATGCCGCTGTTCCTCCTTGGCTGTTCGGCCTTCGAAACTAAACAGCGCGAGCGCATAAAGAGAGGCTTCGATAGCCTGCAAGCTTATTCAAGCTTGCGGAATATAGAACCGGCCCTTCGGGTTGTTGAAAAAGTATGGGAAATCATGGACCATAATATCGAGGAAAGCTGGGATTGGGAGAAGATCATCGAAGATATGGATATGGATTTCTTAATTACATGATTCCCATTGCCATATGCTTCGGCTGCATCTGTCTTTACTCATATCCACGCTGCGACTTCTTCTCCGTACACTTCTTCAATATTTTCTTTTCCGTCATTTTTTGTCTCGACTTAGCATGAATGTCTGCACGGGTGGCGTTCTTTCTAAGCTATTGAAAGCACGGAGTAAGGTGCTAAGTTCTTATTGCTGGCGACGATGGTAGCGCATTATCCCCCGGCTTCATTAACTGGTTTTTTTTTTTTTTTTTTTTTTTTTTTTTTTCCCAAAACGTTTCTCGTTTTAGCCATCTCCGCATTTATTTCCAGCGTTTGTCGTGCTTATTCTGCAAACTGTTGGTTTTCAAAAGGGCATCTTTATGAGATTG